ACACTTGTAATAGAACCAGAGAGAGGGAAAGAACTAGGCACAGAGACTGGAAAGGTAAAGTGTGGAGGTGGAAGAAGGGAAGGAAGGAGCAAAGAAGATTTGAGCAATGTGGATTTTTTGGACTTCTGAGAAGTAGAGGGGCGATTGGTATAAGGTGTCGTACGAGGTCTTGTCGATACTGGGGCTTGTGAGGAAGGACGCAAAGATGTGAGAACAGACTGAGTTGTAGTCGGGACGTCAGAGCCAAGGACAGCAAAAGGATTAGATGCCGTAGTGGCTATGGGAGGGGTAACAACAGAAGAGGCTGCAGGAGATGGGACCCCAAAAGTGGGGGGATGTTTTGAAACACGAGAATAAGAAACACGGGGTAGTCTTCCTTGGAGGCGGAGATGAGTAGCTGCCATAGCATAAGGGAGACCTTCTGCCTCTTTGAGGCAACGGATTTCACGCTCATTTAAGTAGACCTGGCAACGGTGGGAGTACGAAGGGTGAGCTTCATTACAATTAAGGCAAGATGGAGGTTGACTGCAAGATGTATTAGAATGGTAGTCAGCACCACAGACTGGGCATTCGGCTATAGGTCTGCAATATTTTGCTGGGTGACCAAAACGCCAGCAATTTCTACACTGTTGCGGTGTAGGGATCACCTTTCGAACTTGTAAACTATGTCCTGTGACATAAACAGAGGACGGGAGTTCTCAGCTGTCGAAAGTTAATCGAGCCACATTGCAAGGGAAACGTCTAAGCCCATGGGCAGGAAGGACATAAGTGTTGACTTTGAGGATTGGGAGATCCTGGAGTTCCAGCTGTTCAAGAATGTCATTGCCACATGACTGGAAATTCTGTTGGACTATGGTATGGGGCAGAATGACAGTACCACTACAAGAATTGAGAGAAAGATGTTTTTCAATAGTGATAGGAGTAGTATCGATAAGCAAAAGGAGAGAAAGATCATGAGCTTGGGTAGCATTCTGGACAGTGACGATGCGCGTACCGCTCTTGAGAGCATGAAATGAAATATCTTTACCAACATGACGCAGGAGCACTTTGCCAATACTATGGTCAGAAAGATAGGCAGAAGAAGAAGTCGGTCTTAAAGTAAAGAATTTTGTCCATTGTGTGGTCCGAAATTGAGCGTGGAGAGGGAGTGCATGACGTGTCGATCTTTTCCGAGTAGAATGGGAAGGTAACGAAGGAACATCATCAGGAGATTGACGTTGGTGTTTAGGAGTAGGACCGGAGTTGGTCCGTCGTGAAACGGACTGGCAATTCGAAAATTGCCGTACCATAGAGGGAGAGGCCGGAAGCATAGTCAAAGGAGAGCGGAGGTTAGACAAATCAAAGGAGTCAGTCGAAGCCCCGGTACCTGAAGCGGGTGAGGAAACAGCACCAGCAAGAGGTACAGGGGCATCAGGAGTGTCCGAAGAGTGGTGTAAAGACAAGGCAGGGTTAGAATGGGGTGTGGTATCAAGAAGGGGCCCGGGGGTAGTGGGTTCATGGATTGGGTTCTCCATGGTTAGGTTACTCCTTTGCTTTTTGTTTTTAAGAAAAAAAAAAGAAAGAAGAAAAGAAAATAAAAATAAAAAAAAAAAGAATAAAAAAAGGGGGGAGCGGGGAAGAATAGTTCTCAGGAGGAATGAATGCGCCGGAAATCTCCCTCCGCGCCCAAGAGGACCTCAGCACCGCTAGTAGCGCAGATGCAGCATGGAACCCGTGCCATACCCTACCCTTCATGCCAGTAAACCAGCATCCGGGATAGCAACCTCGGTGGACAAAAGAGAGGGCGGCCGGATATCCACCACAAAGCATACCTCCTTCGGCCACCACCCCCGGAATCCAAAAGGTGGCTTCCAGAGATACACCCATCGCCCGAAAGACACCCAAAGCTACACTCCGGGATACCGGAGAGGGATCGGGACATCCCCAGGCGATCCAGATTCCACGGCAAACGTCACCGCCAAGAACCTCAATGGAATGGGATGGACCCCGGTATCCTTTCCCCTACCTAGGAACTAGCGTGCCTGTGGGAGAAATCCTAAAGGCCAAAAAGAGGAAGGGCAAAAGGGAGGGGTGGGGAGGAGGAGGAGGAAAGGAAAAAAGGGGAGGATGGGATAGGGAAGGGGGGGTTGGGGGGTAATTAGGTTCGGTCTGAGGAAGGAGACCGACAGTTCTAATTCCTCAGACCAAGAGCCTCTTCACCACAACAAGGAGCCCCCCTTGAAGAGGAGTGGAGGAAGAAGAAGATAATAAACATCTGCTAATGATGCTGCACATAGCCATGACTCCAGGTGTGATTATAGAGTGATTGAGATGACATTTTTTATTATATTTAGCACTTGCTTTTCTGAAATAGTGAGAGATCTTGAACTGTACTGGAACTAGCTACTCCAAACTATGGGTGGGATTAGAACCCATGGCAGGCGAGTCATATAACTCCAGGCCAGTGCATGGTTTGTTTGCAATCATGTTATTACAACTTCATGAATCATACCTACTTCACGTTGATAGTCAGAAATAACGGAGTCCTGTGGATTGGCTGGCAATGCTCTCACCTCATACTGAGTGTCCATGGCTTAATCCCTGACATGAGTGGAAATGTTGGGCATGTTTCCTTACACCTGCAGTGCCTGTTTACCTAGCAGTAAATAGGTACTTGGGTGTTAATCGACTGGTGTGGGTTGCATCCTGAGGGACAAGACTAAAGGACTTCACTGGAAATGAGAGACAGTCCTCGATGACTCACCGACTTTGTGTTATCCCAGGTGGCTAACCCTCCATGTTAAAAATCCAAATCTTATCTCATCAGGAAGTGCATATTCGTGATGTGGTTAATTCTGTAATCAATACTAGTGTCTATATAATAGATTTCATAAATTACATAGTAACACCTTCAGCTCACACCAGAAGGACAAGGGTACAAATCCAGAACAAGTGGAAATGTGAACATTTCCTCACACCTGTTGCCCATGTCCTTCTAACAGTGTTAGGTACCTGGGTGTTAGCTAACTGTTGTGGGTTGCATCATGGGAAACAGGATCAAAGGATCCCAGAAGAAATAAGCCACACTGACTGGCTTTCTTGGGTTATCCTGGGTAGCTAAGCTTCCAGGTTAATAATCCAAGTAAAGGCTTCTTAATTACTGAAGAAACGCTATAGATTAAGTACAAATTTAATTAGTGAACCACTCTGTTTTACTAATACTATATTGGAGGGAAACAGGAGCAATACTACAGTGTTTAATAATGTTTCTCCTTGGTCACCTGGCAGATGGATTTATGAAGGATGAGGTTAAGCATAGAATTGATGAGGGAAAAAAGGTGAGTGGTGCATTGAGGTATATGTGGAGTCAAAAAACGTTATCTAAGGAGGCAAAGACGGGAATGTATGAAAGTATAGTAGTACCAACACTCTTATATGGGTGTGAAGCTTGGGTGGTAAATGCAGCAGCGAGGAGACGGTTGGAGGCAGTGGAGATGTCCTGTCTAAGGGCAATGTGTGGTGTAAATATTATGCAGAAAATTCGGAGTGTGGAAATTAGGAAAAGGTGTGGAGTTAATAAAAGTATTAGTCAGAGGGCAGAAGAGAGGTTGTTGAGGTGGTTTGGTCATTTAGAGAGAATGGATCAAAGTAGAATGACATGGAAAGCATATAAATCTATAGGGGAAGGAAGGCGAGGTAGGGGTTGTCCTCGAAAGGGTTGGAGAGAGGGGGTAAAGGAGGTTTTATGGGCAAGGGGCTTGGACTTCCAGCAAGCATGCATGAGCGTGTTAGATAGGAGTGAATGGAGACGAATGGTACTTGGGACCTGAAAATCTGTTGGAGTGTGAACAGGGTAATATTTAGTGAAGGGATTCAGGGAAACCGGTTATTTTCATATAGTCGGACTTGAGTCCTGGAAATGGGAAGTACAATGCCTGCACTTTAAAGGAGGGGTTTGGGATATTGGCAGTTTGGAGGGATATGTTGTGTATCTTTATACGTATATGCTTCTAAACTGTTGTATTCTGAGCACCTCTGCAAAAGCAGTGATAATGTGTGAGTGTGGTGAAAGTGTTGAATGATGAAAGTATTTTCTTTTTGGGGATTTTCTTTCTTTTTTGGGTCACCCTACCTCGGTGGGAGACGGCCGACTTGTTGAGAAAAAAAAAATAATAATCATAATAAAATAATAATAATAATGATAGTAATAATAATAATATCTTTATTTCTACAAGTACATGTACAAGGTATACAGGCCTAGCTGCCATCAATGACATACTACTATATAGAAAGTCGCTTGTTCTGCAGAGCATTTTCGGCAAATTAGGTCAGTTTTGCCCCAGGATGTACTCACCTAATTGTGGTTGCAGGGGTCGAGACTCAGCTCCTGGCCCCGCAGTGTGACCCACACCAGTTGACTATCACCCAGGTACCCATTTTACTGATGGGAAACATAGAAAACCAGTGAAAAGAAATATGCCAAATGTTACTACCCTCGACGGTTGTCCATGTTCCCCATCAGTAAAATGGATACCTGGGTGTTAGTCGATTGGTGTGGGTCACATCCTGGAACATAAGTGACCTAATTTGCCTGAAATGCTCTGCATAACAGGTGGCTTTCTACATAGTAATACGTTTTGTGATGTGGAATTTTCAATCATAAATCATTTATTCAATTGCATTTGACATGTTCTGCACAAAATGTTATTTAATTACAAGTATGAAAAAAGAAAGAAGGCATCAAATAAACTGTCTAAAGAAATTAGATGAACCAACTTCAGCTATGAGATTTCAAAGAGCCAGAAAATCCCAGTATTCAGAATGGCCACAGACCTACACTTTCTGAATATGGGTGAGTTTTTTCAATAAAGATATGAATTCACTGATTATTTCTGAAAAGCTACAAGCTCTGTATGGTTTTTCCAAAAATACTATAATATGCCTTAGATTTAATATTATACAAATGGGAGTTTCTTAACTCAATGAACTTTTCAAAACTACTAAAACACATTGCTTCTTACCAGTTCTCTTCTAAGCTGAATGAAAAACTGTTTCCGCTTGAAAGAAATCTTTACAATTTTGGCCCAGCTAAATGTATTTATTTTTATAGCATTCTGGAACACTACCAGACCGATCGCAGTTACACCCAAGTGTATCTCGCGGTTGGTCGAGTCCTGAAAAGAAGACCAGAAAAATTAAGAAACAGATATTTTCAAGCAGTTATGCCAAGGAATATAATACTTATTTATGTCACACTTCTTTAAAGTAAGCAAGTAAGTAAGTTTATTCAGGTATACACAAATACAGTTACATAGAATTATCATACATAGCAGCATATGAGTAGAGAACCTAGGATAACCCAAAAAAGTCAGACAGTGACTTATTTCCATTGGGGTCCTTTTACCTTATTATTATAACATAAAGGTTATAATATTTTCTTATTATTCTATAATGAAGATAACATCTTATCATACTAAAAAGACTATCTACTACATGAGGGTCATTACTAGGAATAAGGTAAAATTTACACGTATTTTTTTTTATTATTATCACACCGGCCGATTCCCACCAAGGCAGGGTGGCCCGAAAAAGAAAAACTTTCACCATCATTCACTCCATCACTGTCTTGCCAGAAGGGTGCTTTACACTACAGTTTTTAAACTGCAACATTAACACCCCTCCTTCAGAGTGCAGGCACTGTACTTCCCATCTCCAGGACTCAAGTCCGGCCTGCCGGTTTCCCTGAATCCCTTCATAAATGTTACTTTGCTCACACTCCAACAGCACGTCCCAAGTATTAAAAGCCCATTTGTCTCCATTCACTCCAATCAAACACGCTCACGCATGCCTGTGGAAGTCCAAGCCCCTCGCACACAAAACCTCCTTTACCCCCTCCCTCCAACCCTTCCTAGCCGACCCCTACCCCGCCTTCCTTCCACTACAGACTGATACACTCTTGAAGTCATTCTGTTTCGCTCCATTCCTCTACATGTCCGAACCACCTCAAACCCTTCCTCAGCCTCTGGACAACAGTTTTGGTAATCCCGCACCTCCTCCTAACTTCCAAACTACGAAATTCTCTGCATTATATTCACACCACACATTGCCCTCAGACATGACATCTCCACTGCCTCCAGCCTTCTCCTCGCTGCAACATTCATCACCCACGCTTCACACCCATATAAAGAGCGTTGGTAAAACATATACTCTCATACATTCCCCTCTTTGCCTCCAAGGACAAAGTTCTTTGTCTCCACAGACTCCTAAGTGCACCACTCACTCTTTTTCCTCATCAATTCTATGATTCACCCTCATCTTTCATAGACCCATCCGCTGACACGTCCACTCCCAAATATCTGAATACGTTCACCTCCTCCATACTCTCTCCCTCCAATCTGATATTCAATCTTTCATCACCTAATCTTTTTGTTATCCTCATAACCTTACTCTTTCCTGTATTCACCTTTAATTTTCTTCTTTTGCACCCCTACCAAATTCATCCACCAATCTCTGCAACTTCTCTTCAGAATCTCCAAGAGCACAGTGTCATCAGCAAAGAGCAGCTGTGACAACTCCCACTTTGTGTGTGATTCTTTATCTTTTAACTCCACGCCTCTTGCCAAGACCCTCGCATTTACTTCTCTTACAACCCCATCTATAAATATATTAAACAACCACGGTGACATCACACATCCTTGTCTAAGGCCTACTTTTACTGGGAAAAAATTTCCCTCTTTCCTACATACTCTAACTTGAGCCTCACTATCCTCGTAAAAAACTCTTCACTGCTTTCAGTAACCTACCTCCTACACCATACACTTGCAACATCTGCCACATTGCCCCCCTATCCACCCTGTCATACGCCTTTTCCAAATCCATAAATGCCACAAAGACCTCTTTAGCCTTATCTAAATACTGTTCCTTATATGTTTCACTGTAAACACCTGGTCCCACAACCCCCTACCTTTCCTAAAGCCTCCTTGTTCATCTGCTATCCTATTCTCCGTCTTACTCTTAATTCTTTCAATTATAACTCTACCATACACTTTACCAGGTAACACTCAACAGACTTATCCCCCTATAATTTTTGCACTCTCTTTTATCCCCTTTGCCTTTATACAAAGGAACTATGCATGCTCTCTGCCAATCCCTAGGTACCTTACCCTCTTCCATACATTTATTAAATAATTGCACCAACCACTCCAAAACTATATCCCCACCTGCTTTTAACATTTCTTCTTTATCCCATCAATCCCGGCTGCCTTACCCCCTTTCATTTTACCTACTGCCTCACGAACTTCCCCCACACTCACAACTGGCTCTTCCTCACTCCTACAAGATGTTATTCCTCCTGCCCTATACACGAAATCACAGCTTCCCTATCTTCATCAACATTTAACAATTCCTCAAAATATTCCTTCCATCTTCCCAATACCTCTAACTCTCCATTTAATAACTCTCCTCTCCTATTTTTAACTGACAAATCCATTTGTTCTCTAGGCTTTCTTAACTTGTTAATCTCACTCCAAAACTTTTTCTTATTTTCAACAAAATTTGTTGATAACATCTCACCCACTCTCTCATTTGCTCTCTTTTTACATTGCTTCACCACTCTCTTAACTTCTCTCTTTTTCTCCATATACTCTTCCCTCCTTGCATCACTTCTACTTTGTAAAAACTTCTCATATGCTAACTTTTTTCTCCCTTACTACTCTCTTTACATCATCATTCCACCAATCGCTCCTCTTCCCTCCTGCACCCACTTTCCTGTAACCACAAACTTCTGCTGAACACTCTAAACACTACATTTTTAAACCTACCCCATACCTCTTCGACCCCATTGCCTATGCTCTCATTAGCCCATCTATCCTCCAATAGCTGTTTATATCTTACCCTAACTGCCTCCTCTTTTAGTTTATAAAACCTTCAACCTCTCTCTTCCCTGATGCTTCTATTCTCCTTGTATCCCAATCTACCTTTTACTCTCAGTGTAGCTACAACTAGAAAGTGATCTGATATATCTGTGGCCCCTCTATAAACATGTACATCCTGAAGTCTACTCAACAGTCTTTTATCTACCATACATAATCCAACAAACTACTGTCATTTCGCCCTACATCATATCGTGTATACTTATTTATCCTCTTTTTCTTAAAATATGTATTACCTATAACTAAACCCCTTTCTATACAAAGTTCAATCAAAGGGCTCCCATTATCATTTACACCTGGCACCCCAAACTTACCTACCACACCCTCTCTAAAAGTTTCTCCTACTTTAGCATTCAAGTCCCCTACCACAATTACTCTTTCACTTACCTAAAAATTTAGAAAATCATTCCCCTCCCTTTCTGTAGCTATATTCATCAGACACCTTTTGGCACTCTTCTTGAACTGGTTCATGCTATGACTGGCTTTGACATGTGCGGGCAGCCTGTTCCATTCCTTTATTGCTGTACAATAAAAGGTGTTTGAAGCCTGGCCAATGACTGTGGGTACTACAAAGTCGTGCTCTCTCCCCCTTGTACTATGATTGCTTTGGTTCCCAACCTTGACAAAATTGACAGCAAGATATTCTGGACACTGTTTGTGAGCAATTTTATAAACATGATTTAGCTTCAGTTGTTTTACTCTGTCTTCAACATTCAGCATATCCAACTGCTGTAATTCATTCTAGCCTACATGCTCTCTTGGTCCCTGCCCCAGGATGAATCTTACGATTTTGTTCTGGGTGATTTGCAGTCTATCTTTCATTTTTTTGTCAAGGCAGAGTACCATGAAGAGCAAGCGTAATCCATATGGCATTGTATAAGGGCTAGACATGGGGTCCTGCAAGCCTCAGTAGGTAGACACTGTGCTTGTCTATACAGGAACTTCATTTTGGCATTCACTTTCTTTACTACAAATGTTCCCCATCAATTCTCCTGACATGCATGGGGCAAGAGATTTCCCCGATATTTTACTTGGGCACGACCTACTTCCACATTGAACAAATGTGACACGACCTATGACTGCTGCACCTCTCCTGCCATACGGTTTATAAGCTGCTTCTCTGCTGATATGCCGTATTCTATTCAAGATTGATGGACTGAACACATCGACTCAAGGTTGAGGGACTGATTACCTCATTCTCCTCCTGTTCTTCAAGTTTCTCCTACGTATGGACTGATGAAGCCACTGTGTGGCGAAACGTTTCCTCAATAAAGATACCCAAGAGTTGCACATGTGTCTAATTTATCAATGAAAAATTGCTAATTCTTGACTTACTGTGCGTAATTATTCAATTAAACTTTATCAAGTATGTATGTAAACGAAAAATTACTCAAATATAGGGCTTGCTACTATCAGCGGCTTTGAGTATCTGCAGTAGGTCTTGGAACGTATCCTCTGCAGATACGGAGGTCCTACTGTACTGTATATATTAGTGTACAGTAATCTTCAAAACACAAAGATACATTCCTGAATAGCATCTTAAATATAAAATAGCATTAAGATATGCCATTTATTTTTACATTTAAAACCAGTCCTAATTATTTCTGATGCAGTAAAGTGAGCCTATCCCACTTGCCTTACCCTAACTTTGTGCAGATCAACGCCATAGAGATCTAACCGCTTAGCATGATCTAAGAAATTGAACTCGGCATCTGCTGGAGTCTGCCCTCTGTAGGTAAAAAAAAAAAGAAAAAGACAATCAGAAAATGTTTCATGCATCACCAAAGAAAATTAAAGAACTAATATTATCAGGGCTAGTAGATATTTTTAGTTCATAATTAGATGCATTTGAGCACAGTATATGATCACATATTAAGACATTACATTCTATACTGTATAGTATATCTATATATATATTTATATTATACTTTAATTCAGAAATAATAAAAGCACCACAAGCCATGCCAGAAACAAGTAAGGTCAGAACAAGTGACCTTACTGTCAATGCTCTGATTGCATAAGATCTAAACTGCTTCTGTAACATGTTTAAATTTGGGACAACTGCAATGACAACTGACTTAACTATGTCTTACAATAAAGATGCATATTTTCAATTTGTCTCTTTTGTAATTACAGTACAATGTGCCAGTTACAAGGATGCACATTCCTAGTCTAGGTCGTTGCTGAAAATTTTAACATACTGGAAGATAGCCAAGCTTTTATATGCATACTCTGTTGGACAAATGTGTTCCATGATTCTAGTGTTAAGGTTCCTATCAGCTTTTCTTGTGTATGAAAGTTTGCAGTTTTTACAGGGGATTTTGTATACCTTGGCTTTTCTTAAGTGACAGGTGTTTTATATGCACTGTAAAGTTTATTACTGAATTTGTCTGGTTAAACACACTTAGTTGAATGATGATCTTCCTTATGTTTTGGTTAAGCCTTTCATTGTGAAGCACGAGAGTATCAATGTTTCTCGTCTTTCTTCCTTCTGGCTGTTATTACTGTACTGATTGGTCTTTTTTTTCTGAAGCATCTATTACAATCTGGTAAACCTAGTTTCAGCAACTGTGTAAAGATGTTAAATTTTTTGTTGAAGATATTGTGGCAGGCAGATGATGCTCTTGAGAAAAAGGTCAGAAACCATACTTTGTTTTTATCTGATCTGAGTGCTGGCTGAAAAAATAAAATAATTGGCTGAATGGGCATTTTTTCTATACTGTGAGTATTTAAAAGTTTTTTATTACATTTTCCTTCAAATTCTCATCAAACTTCAAATTTGATAACGGGGACCAAATTATTAGTGTTTTAACAGTGGTTTAAAATGTGTTAAATAAATCTTATGATTTTTACTATAGTAAAAATATCCATATACATAAACCAGTAAATGTCATTAGACTAAATGTAGGTGCATGTGTCTGCTTCAGTGTTCCAAATACCATATTAATAATAAAGTGCTGTTACAAATGCCACAAAAAAAAAAAATATATATATATATATATACAGTGGACCCCCGAGTTTCGTGATTAATCTGTTCCAGAGAGCCCGCCGAAGGTCGAAATTCACGAAACTCGAAACCATTTTCCCCATAAGAAATAATGGAAATAAAATTAATCCGTTCCATACACCCAAAAATATTAAAATAAATTTTTTTTTTTCAAATTAAATAAAGATTTACATAATGAAAACAATCAGAAATCAAGTACTGCTTTAAAATAAATAAAAATAACATTACACGTGACCTTTACTGAAATTCTGTTAGAGAGCGAGAGGTCGAAATTCACGAAACTCGAAACCATTTTCCCATAAGAAATAATGGACAAAATTAGCCATTCACCCAAAAATATTAAAATAGTTTTCTTCATTAAAGAAGTTAATAATGAAATATTCAGAAGTTTCAAGTACAGATTACAGTAAATAATCAATAAATTTCATTATTATGAAGCTCGGGGTGTAGTGAGGGGCAGTCAATCAAACAAACGGTTCAACATGGAATAAATTGTGACTTTTTTGAAAGGTTATTATAGAATATCAAGAAGCTAGTAGAAACAGTCATTAAAACATGGAAGTGTTTTTGGTAATGCTTCCAACATGGATAAATTGTCATTTTTGTGGACAAATGATGTCACGCCCCTTGTGCAGATACCAAGATAACTATCAAAGCTGTATTTAAAACAGGAAGTTTCTATCAAAAGATGGGACTAAAACAGGGTATTAAAGGGAAACATCAGCCTTGCTTTCATAGTAAAACTGAAGCTTGTGTCAACAGTCTGGTAGTCATAAAAGTTGGGGCTGATAGGGTACTGTCCCTGTACGGATGATCAGAAATGTAAGGCTGGAGGTGACTGTCCTGGAGTCAGTAATGGTGGGCTGGTAGGTGCTGTCCTGGGAGACAGTAATGGTGAAGCTGGAGGTGTTGTCCTGGGAGACAGTAATGGTGAAGCTGGAGGTGCTGTCCTGGGAGACAGTAATGGTGAAGCTGGAGATTTTGTCCAGGTAGTCGGGAATTATACGCAGGAAGGAATACATATAAATGACCTCATAGGGGACAGGAGCCGTAGTGGGGAAACAAGTGTAGTCAAAGATAAGATAAAACCAATATTGCAAACTAGAATACCACAGGAAATAGCAAACAAGAGGACTCCACTAGCAATAGTGAGGATATATTACCAAAAACAACTGGTGGGAGCTCCATTGTTGGTGCTAGGGAGGATAGGAATAAGACAGGGAAACATGCACCAACAGGGAATACAGTCACAGAAACCCAAGGCAAACGGAAACCAAGCCTGTGCACATACTATGCACTTGGTATCTGCAGACATGGGAAATCTGGAAAAACAGACGGGACGTGCAACTATGACCACCCTAGAAAATGCCATGCCCATATGACAACAGGAAAATGCAAACTCCCTTCCTGTAAGCTTTTTCACCCTGAAATATGTACCTCTTCAGTACAGGAAAGACTGTGCTATAACTTAAATTGCCAGGCACACCATCTAAAGGGGACAAAAAGATACAAAACATCCAGGCCATGGGAAAACCTGGGTAGCCACAGCCACTCAAGAGGGAGAGGTTTTTTAGTGCCAGGAAGGAAAAAAAACTGGCAGGAAATGGCAGAAATCGTACACCAAATCCAGTCATTCCTGGAGTGGAACCACAGTCGATGGCCTCCACTCCAAACCAACAGATACAGATACTAATGCCGGAAAAAAAAATCCCCCCCCCAGTACCAACAATACCACCAGTCCGATGACATTCTTCTTTGCAAATATACAGGGTCTAAAGCCAGCAACAAACAACAAAATACCTTTCATCCGTGGACTGCTTGCAGAGGCAAAGGCAATGTTCGGGCTTTCACTGAGACCCACATAAAGGATCACTTGGACAAGAAATATGGATCCCAGGTTACAACCTATACAGATGTGACAGAGTGAACAGGCAAAAGGGGGAGGGTTGGCCTGTACATTGCAGAGTCACTTGTTTGCACAGAACTGCTTAATGCCTCAAATGATGTAGTGGAAGTTTTAGCAGTAAAGGTCGAGAACCAAAACCTAGTCATTGTGGTAGTCTACAAGCCTCCGGATGCAACATCCCAGCAATTCCAGGAACAGCTGTTAAAAATTGACCACTGTCTGGAAAATCTTCCAGCTCCTGCACCCAACATCTTGCTCCTGGGGGGGTTTCAACTTAAGGCACCTAAAATGGAGGAATATAGCAAATAATATTGTTGCAGTAATAACACCAGGAGGCAGCTCTGATGAAAACTCTGACTCACACGAGCTTTTAAATCTCTGCACAAAATTCAATTTAAACCAGCAAATAATAGAGCCTACTAGACTGGAGAATACACTAGACCTCATCTTCACTAACAATGATGATCTGATAAGAAATGTCACCATATCAAAAACAATATACTCAGATCACAACATAATTGAGGTTCAGACATGTATGTGTGGAGCCCCAGACCGACATAATGAGACTAGTCACGAGGGAGCATTCACCAAATTCAGCTTCAATAACAAAAACATAAAGTGGGACCAAGTAAACCAAGTCCTAACCGATATAAGCTGGGAAGATATACTAAGCAACACAGACCCAAACTTATGCCTAGAACAGATTAACTTGGTGGCACTCAATGTATGCACAAGGCTTATTCCTCTAAGAAAAAGGAGGAGTAGATGTAAAATAGAAAGAGACAGGCGCTCCCTTTACAGGCGACGGAAAAGAATAACAGAGCGGCTAAAAGATTTCAATATATCTGAAATGCATAGGGAGACACTGGTCAGAGAAATAGCAAGCATCGAACTTAAGCTAAAGGAATCTTATAGGAGTCAAGAATCGCGGGAAGAACTAAAAGCCATAAATGAAATCGAAAGAAACCCAAAGTATTTCTTCTCCTATGCCAAATCAAAGTCGAGAACAACGTCCAGTATTGGGCCCCTACTTAAACAAGATGGGTCCTACACAGATGACAGCAAGGAAATGAGTGAGCTACTCAAGTCCCAATATGACTCAGTTTTTAGCAAGCCGCTAACCAGACTGAGAGTCGAAGATCAAAATGAATTTTTTATGAGAGAGCCACAAAATTTGGTTAACACAAGCCTATCCGATGTTATCCTGACGCCAAATGACTTCGAACAGGCGATAAATGACATACCCATGCACTCTGCCCCAGGGCCAGAGTCATGGAACTCCGTGTTCATCAAGAACTGCAAGAAGCCCCTATCACGAGCCTTTTCCATCCTATGGAGAGGGAGCATGGACACGGGGGTCGTCCCACAGTTACTAAAAACAACAGACATAGCCCCACTTCACAAAGGGGGCAGTAAAGCAACAGCAAAGAACTACAGACCAATAGCACTAACATCCCATATCATAAAAATCTTTGAAAGGGTCCTAAGAAGCAAGATCACCACCCATCTAGAAACCCATCAGTTACACAACCCAGGGCAACATGGGTTTAGAACAGGTTGCTCCTGTCTGTCTCAACTATTGGATCACTACGACAAGGTCCTAAATGCACTAGAAGACAAAAAGAATGCAGATGTAATATATACAGACTTTGCAAAAGCCTTCGGCAAGTGTGACCATGGCGTAATGCGCACAAAATGCGTGCTAAAGGAATAACAGGAAAAGTCGGTCGATGGATCTAAAATTTCCTCACTAACAGAACACAGAGAGTAGTCGTCAACAGAGTAAAGTCCGAGGCAGCTACGGTGAAAAGCTCTGTTCCACAAGGCACAGTACTCGCTCCCATCTTGTTCCTCATCCTCATATCCGACATAGACAAGGATGTCAGCCACAGCACCGTGTCTTCCTTTGCAGATGAACCCGAATCTGCATGACAGTGTCTTCCATTGCAGACACTGCAAGGCTCCAGGCGGACATCAACCAAATCTTTCAGTGGGCTGCAGAAAACAATATGAAGTTCAACGATGAGAAATTTCAATTACTCAGATATGGTAAACACGAGGAAATTAAATCTTCATCAGAGTACAAAACAAATTCTGGCCACAAAATAGAGCGAAACACCAACGTCAAAGACCTGGGAGTGATCATGTCGGAGGATCTCACCTTCAAGGACCATAACATTGTATCAATCGCATCTGCTAGAAAAATGACAGGATGGATAATGAGAACCTTCAAAACTAGGGAGGCCAAGCCCATGATGACACTCTTCAGGTCACTTGTTCTATCTAGGCTGGAATATTGCTGCACACTAACAGCACCTTTCAAGGCAGGTGAAATTGCTGACCTAGAAAATGTACAGAGAACCTTCACGGCACGCATAACGGAGATAAAACACCTCAATTACTGGGAGCGCTTGAGGTTCCTAAACCTGTATTCCCTGGAATGCAGGCGGGAGAGATACATGATTATATACACCTGGAAAATCCTAGAGGGACTAGTACCGAACTTGCACACGAAAATCACTCACTACGAAAGCAAAAGACTTGGCAGACGATGCAACATCCCCCCAATGAAAAGCAGGGGTGTCACTAGCACGTTAAGAGACCATACAATAAGTGTCAGGGGCCCGAGACTGTTCAACTGCCTCCCAGCATACATAAGGGGGATTATCAACAGACCCCTGGCAGTCTTCAAGCTGGCACTGGACAAGCACCTAAAGTCGGTTCCTGACCAGCGGGGCTGTGGCTCGTACGTCGGTTTGCATGCAGCCAGCAGCAACAGCCTGGTTGATCAGGCTCTGATCCACCAGGAGGCCTGGTCACAGACCGGGCCGCGGGGGCGTTGACCCCCGGAACTCCAGGTAAACTCCAGGTAATTGTTTGGAAGGAGAATCTCCTTCCATTAGGACTTTAGGTAGCAAGTCCTTATCTGGAGTTACTTCCCTTCTTTTAATGCCACTGGGAACAACTTGAGAGTCACTGGACCCCTGGCGCACAAAATATCTATCCAGAGAGGTCTTTTTCTGGCATTTCTTTAAGATTTCCCTGAAGTAGGACACAACACTGTCATTGTACATGTTGCAGATATGGCTTGTTTCAGCTTGGCCAGGATGATACTTTTCAACAAAACTTTGCAACTCATTCCACATTCCACACAAGTCCTTAATCACTGATGAAGGCACCTCATCCACTCCCTCTTCCTCCTCCTCCTCTGAAGCAAGTTCCTCGGCTGTGGTCTGATGCTGCTCCAGTTGAAGCTCTTGCAGTTCATCAGTGGTTAGCTCTTCCCTGTGGTCCTCCACCAACTCTTCCACATCCCCGTCACTCACTTTATTTACCAAAGGGCTTGCACTAGCTTTCCTTGGGTCCATGATGACTTATTTAGCAGTTGCAAGCACAAAAAACAATGGATTATTATGAAATGTATTGTATGAAACCGCGGGGTGATGGTCACGTGTTGGTAAACAATGGCACACTGAGCGTGAGTAGCATGGGAGACTGGCTTTGTGTGCGTGGTAACGGGCGGACGGGTACCGGACGGTCGCCAAAACGAGTTTTTTCACGAAACTCGAGGCCAATTTTTTCCAAAAAAACTCGCCGAAGGTCGAATTTCGCGAAAGTCGAGGCTGCCGAAACTCAGGGGTCCACTGTAGTTGCCAGTTTTTATCAACTAATGTTGCCTGTTTTAGAATGAAAGCACAACGATGTGCTTGCTCAAGATTTCCAGTAGACAATACAATAAGATAAATGTTATGATCAGAAGTGCTAATACAGTGGACCCCCGGTTAACGATATTTTTTCACTCCAGAAGTATGTTCAGGTGCCAGTACTGACCGAATTTGTTCCCATAAGGAATATTGTGAAGTAGATTAGTCCATTTCAGACCCCCAAACATACACGTACAAACGCACTTACATAAATACACTTACATAATTGGTCGCATTCGGAGGTGATCGTTATGCGGGGGTCCACTGTAATTAATACATTTTATATGACCCCCTCTCTTTAAATTGTTGTGTTTGCATAATAATATACCAATTTACAGAATATTATTCCATAATACAAATTAAATAGGTAGGGCAATACTTAAGAAACAAAAAACATATAAACAACTTACTTGTGGAGTTTATGAAGCTCTATAATTTTTTTCTCGAGATCCTCTGTCTGGTTGGGAACAAGCCTCATGTCTGCTAGGTATGCATTACCGTGTTCCTCCAGACAATAGTCACCTACTTCAGCTGAAATACACATCAGTGTCAGTATACATAACCCAAGAATTACAAACTGGATGATTATAAAATTTTTCATTCATCAGTTACATATAGTATTGTACAGCTTAATTTTCATTATACAATCAGTCAATTTTTTTTCTACATGATAAATCGTTTGTACATAACTGGATGACATTACATCTCTCGTGTAATAAAGGACTATACTATTTTACATATAGTATATGTATGCAAGACAATGATTTTCACAATAAAATAGATTTTATGAATATTAAACAATATAAAGCAGATAATATCATTACATTCAGATTATACTTTATTAAAATTACTCCATTAATTCAAAATAAAATTCTAATAAAGATTACTTAATAATGAAACTAGTTACGTACTTGTATTATTACAGAATGTGATGAGATAGTCATTTACATGTATGTATACAAGACATTAATGATATTCACAGTAAAAGTGATTTAGTGAGAATGACTCGGTGTATATGGACAGATAAAATCCTAGTAAGGTACACGAGAATAAGAATACGTACTTGGTTTGAGATTAGTGCTAAGTTATGATTATAATAATTATAATTCAAGTATGTATTCAGTAATAATTTACAATAAAAATTACAACTGGAATGAACGTAGTTACATGAAGTAATACTAAATATGATGAGATAATTGTTGTCAGGATCATATTAAAATAAGGAGGTGCTTTTTAACTGTTTTGAAGTGGTTGGTTGATAGGGAACATCTGGAATCTTCAGGCAAGGAGTTTCTGAACTTAGATCCTTTTGTGCATACAGTACGTACAGACAATGGCACTCCGAAGTATATAATAAATAATTTCATTGAAAAATAGAAAATGTCATGCTTATCAACACCATGGACTTAGAAAGAAAAGCGCTGAGTAAAGTTGAAACAAAAGACATGACACTAGTACAGAAAATAAATTCAACTCCAGTGCTAAAACTCCTGCCTACCTTTGGAGCCTGACCTACTTCCACTAGTGGGTCCTGTCCACATGTGACCATATCTTCAAGTGCTACATCTCTCCAAAAGTTCCAAAATCTCAAGTATAGAGTGAAAAAGCCTGCTGTGCAGGCAAAACAGCTATCCCAGAACTTCGCAGATCCAGCAGAAACACAGACGATGATTCCAGCAAGCAACCAGCAGTGGCGACAAGAACCAATACAAATCAACAAGAGTACCCCTTAAGGAAGGGTCCTTGATGCTGGTGAGGGGCTGTTGATCTATGAATTTGGATTAGTGCTCCAGTTCCCTGAATGCTTTTCACCCCCCCCTCTTCACAGACTCTATACAATCCCGACAGGCTTAGCACTCCCCCATAATAATAATAATAATAATAATAATAATAATAATAATAATAATAATAATAGGTAGTAGGTTGGTAGACAGCAACTGCCCAGGGAGGTACTACCATCCTGCCAAGTGAGTGTAAAACGGAATCCTGTAATTGTTTTACATGATGGTAGGATTGCTGGTGTCCATTTTTCTGTCTCATGAACATGCAAGGTTTCAGGTACGTCTTGCTACTTCTACTTACACTTAGGTCACACTACACATACATGTACAAGCATATATATACACACACCCCTCTGGGTTTTCTTCTATTTTCTTTCTAGTTCTTGTTCTTGTTTATTTCCTCTTATCTCCATGGGGAAGTGGAACATTATTCTTCCTCCGTAAGCCATGCGTGTTGTAAGAGGCGACTAAAATGCCAGGAGCAAGGGGCTAGTAACCCCTTCTCCTGTATATATTACTAAATTTAAAAAGAGAAACTTTCGTTTTTCTTTTTGGGCCACCCCGCCTTGTTGGGATATGGCCGGTTTATTGAAAAAAAAAATAATAATAAGAGTACCAACAGATAACACCGAACCAAGACAACAAGAGTAACAACATCACTGAACCAAGACAACAAGAGTAACAACAGATCACTGAACCAAGACAACAAGAGTAACAACAGAGATCACCAAACCAAGACAACAAGAGTAACAACAGATCACAGAACCAAGACAACATGAGTAACAACAGAGATCACCAAACCAAGACAACAGGAGTAACAATAGATCACAGAACCAAGACAACAAGAGTAACAATGGAGATCACCGAACCAAGACAACAAAAGTAACAACAGAGATCACTGAACCACGATAACACGAGTAACAGATAACCAAACCAAGACAAGAGTAACAATAGAGATCACTGACCCAAGACAACAAGAGTAACAGATCACAGAACCAATTCAACAAGAGTAACAACAGAGAGCACTGAACAAAGACAAAATGAGTAACAACGGAGATCACCGAACCAAGACAACAAGAGTAACAACAGAGATCACCGAACCAAGACAACAAGAGTAACAACAGAGATCACCGAACCAAGACAACAAAAGTAACAACTGATCACCGAACCAAGACAACAAGAGTAACAACAGAGATCCCCAAAACCAAGAAAACAAGATAACAGAGATCCCCAAAACCAAAGAAAACAAAAGTAACAACGAGATCCCCAAAACGAAGACAAAAAAAAAGAAAAACTTATCCCCAAACCAAGACAACAAGGTAAAACAGAGATCACGAACCCAAAGACAACAAGGAAAACAACTGATCCCCAAACCCAAATTCAGCAAGTTGCTGATCTGTTGTATAGCTTTCAGTATCCCCATGTCTTTAGATAGTCCCTGGGCCTGGGGACTGTTTGTGTGTTTCACGGGATGCGCATTTGTGTTCGTCCCTTGCACTCTCTCAGTCGGCTTTTGAATGGCTAGGACAGGCAGAGGCGGGCCCCATCTCCATCATCCAGTTTGACAATGTTCGTTACACCCAAACAAGTGGTTCCTTTCAACCTCGTTTTTCCCATTTAAAAACCCCCCTACTATAATGGTGGCAACGGAGGGCCTGTAACCCTGACGTTTACAGCGTTTTCTGGAGAAAAAATTTCGACCGAGCGGTGCCATTTGGAGTGGGCCCTGCAGAGAAGGTTAACGCCAACCAGTCCCACCCAGTTTTCCGAAAAAGCCCCCTACCAGTTCTACACCTTTTCATGGTCATCTTTTGTATTATGTTTATCTGCTTTTTGCATCACCCCGAGGGGTTGACCCGGTTTGCAAAATAACCCAGTTTCCGTCTTGGTGGGGGAGTCGAAAAAACCGAGCCGTCTGCCTCCCTACCCCATCCAGTTCCTTTCCCTCCCAACCCGCTTCCCCCCTGCTGTGCTCTGTGAAAAAAAGTTAAGCTTTTGTCTGAAGGGTTAAGATAACCCGCTAGCAAAAACCCAGGTGTCTTACCCCGTATCAAGTAAGCAGGAGTATCTTCATCTTTTGGATTCAGCCCCAAGCCATCCGGTGCTCTTTTTCACCCTGTGGTTTGTGGTATTTGTGGGTGAAATTTTTAAGCCACCCGGTTAAAATTATCTTCAGGGCAGTGGGGTGCCCTCAGGGGCTTACCCCGTTCAACCATGGGCCCCCATGACCAGTGTGGCTCACCCCCCCCGGTCTTGCCCTGTTTGCCCAAAACCCACCCCCCCTCCCCACGCGGTCTCAGACCCCTTTTAGCCTGTTAAACCCAAAACCAACCCCTCTCATTGTTTTTTGGTACTCCCCCAAACCTTCCCCGTGTTTGGTACATACTGGGGGTTATGACCATTTTTTAAAGGACCACATAGGGGGTCAAGAGTAGTTTGGTTTTTTGCGCCAACTTTAAAAGCCTCCTGTGTGAAGTCTATCGTCGAGTAAGCCAATTCTATGATCACGTGTGCGAGGCCAGCAAGACGCAAAACAATCCCCCAACCCTTTCCACCATCAACCTTTTTTTTCCCCAAAGTCGTTACTGCGAAAATTTTTTTCTTGAGACATTTGCGATTTGAGACTTTTTTTGTGTTCAGTGATTTTCTTAGTGAATTCAGTGATCTTGATCAGACCCCAGTGTTTTTTTTGAAATAATTTTTTTTCTCCTTAATTCGTGTTAATTTTCGTGCTTTTTATGTCGTTGTTTGTAAAATCTTTTTATACACTTGAAGTAAGTACTTAGTTTTTTCCCTTTGTTGTGTGTGCAACATATGACAGTATAGAACTTGTGTTTCCACTTCACAATCCCCTGTGTTTAGTTTTCCCGTGAAGTATTTCAGAAATTTTTTTCCCTCATATTTGCATCACAACTCGGTTGTCTCAGTTTATATAATTTTTTATCCCAGCATTTGTGTTTTCTTTTTTTTTTTTTCTCTGTGTTTTTGAACATTTGTGTTCTATTTTTTTTCATTTAGCCAGTTTTAAATTTTGTCTTATTTCCAAGACAATAGTGCCATTATTTTGTGCAAGCAGAAATTATTATAAAGGTTTTCCCACTCAAGTTTCTTTGAAAAGAAAATTCTGTATTGGTTTATGTTGATGTGTTGTGTTCTGCTCACGAAAGTGTTCAAATTTTTTTTGCTCTGTGTTTTAGCACCTTTTTTTTTTCTTTTTCATTGAACAAATTATCTTAGTGCAATTTTTAAGTTCTTTTTTAGAGTAAATTGTTTTTTTGCTTGAAAAGTGTGTTTAGCTGCAGTTAAGAGTTAAAGTGTTCATTCTTGATCATTTTTTTTTGTGGTGTAATAATTTTTATTTTTGCACATTCTCATTTTGCAAAAATTTTGTGCAAAGTTTTTGTTTTGTTTTAAAAAAATTTTTCTTGGAGATTTTGTGCAGTGTTGTGCAGTACTTTTGATTAGCTTTGTTTTTTGAAATTTGCTCAGTTTTTTTCAGTGCAGTTTCATTTTGCTCTGTTTGGCATAATATTTTATTTTTCTGTGTCATTTTATTTTATTCCAGTGTTTGTGTCCAGTTTGTTTTTTTTTGCCCAAGCTTTTTTGAGTCCTTTTTTCATTTTATTGTGTATTTCCTTTTGCATTGAGAGAAAAGACAACTCACTTGCCATTCATTCAATTTAAAGAAAAATTGAGCAAATCTTTTTGAGAAAAGTAAAGTTCTCTTGATTTTCAAAGGGTTGTTCATTC